CCAATACCACACAGCTTTTCCAGGCCAATCCTATGGATTTGGTGTCTCCTCCACATTCAGAGGAGGTGCAGGCTTGAAGGAAGGGGAGTGCACTCATTTCAGAACCCCTACGGAAAAGGAGGGGCCCCGCATGCTCTCCTGAGCGGGGGGCGGGGGGGGCCGAGAGGGAGACCTGGCATGTCTTTCCTGCTCCCTCCTGAGAAGAAGATCTGTTGAAGGTATGGTTTGTTACTCTGGGGAACACTGCTGGAGGTGCCGTCTCCCTGGTGAGTACCTCTACTCCTCCCTTCCAGATCCTCCCCCAACCCAGCATGGACAGGCCCAGGTAGCTGAGCTTCAGCACCATGGACAGCTCTATTGCTGCCTCTCTGCCCCTCTTCTGTGTCTGGTTGTATTTGGGGTGTATGGGAACTGAGCCCCTCAGAGGGCATCCCATTCTCTGAGCAGGCTGATAATACTGTTTCTTGGGCATTGCTGGGCGCCTCTGTGGCTGAACCCCTGAGGTGCAGGATGGCTAGAGAGGAAGGAGAAAAGACACAGGGGAGTTGTCCTTTGCAGCAGGTGTTCTGATTTGTTGTTGTTAGGTGCCATCAAGCTGGCTCTGACTCACAGCAGCTTTGTGCCTGACAGAAGAAAACTGCTCGGTCCTGCACCGGCCTCACAGTCCCTGCGGTACGCAAGCCCATTGCTGCAGCCACTGTCGGTCCATCTCTCGGAGGGCTGACCCTCTGCCAACATGATGCTCTTCTCAGGGACTAACCCCTCCTGATAACAAGTCCAGAGTATGTGAGGGGAAGTTTTATGGTCCTCACTTTTAAGGAGCACTCTGACTGCACTTCTTCCAGAAGGGCTAAGGGTTTGACAGAAGATAGCACTTTCCAGAAGAAAGAAGATAAGGGATGATTTTCTGCTTTCAAGGCCTGGACTAGCAGGCAGGGGACCTTGGTCTTGGAAGTTGACTGAGCAAGTTGGGGACAGGGCAGGGAAGTGACAGGCTGGGGTTGGGGTGTTCTAGCTGAGGTACTTGCCTTTCTGAAGAATGGGATTATCAGTAAATTGGTGCCAGGACACCAAGGGATGGGGTAGTACCATGGAGCAGAGCACCCTCTGGTGCTTGGGACCCTATGGAAGAGGACATCTCTGAGTTGCAGTCTCCTGTGGTCTCCTCTCGCCCCCAGCCTCTTAGACTGGGGTGCCCCAGGCCCTGGCAGCATCCATGTCCCTTCCCAGTGCCCCAGCAGTTGCCTGTCAGCCCAGCCTCGCGGACTCCAAGTGGAAATCAACCCTGATTTGTAGATTTTGCTTTGAAACCTAAAGGATTTTTAATTAAAACACAGCAAACCCATCTGTGTAATTAAGGCTCTAAAGTCCCAGGGCTCTGGCCGCAGGTGGCCAGGCCACGTGTCCTCAGCTATCCATAGAATATGGCCGGGAGAGCTGGGCCGTGGTATGGCAGGGACATGCCAGACCTTGTCATGGATAGGGAGTTGACTGGTGTGTGGCTAGTGGATCCTGTGGCCTGACAGCTCTTCCCCAGGGTGTTCTGGAATGGTCTGGTCAGACTGAGGGATGGGTGGGGGAAGGCTTGATCTACCAAACTCACCTTTCTGTACCACAGGGAGTTGAAAAGCACTCAGAATCTCTGGGCAGAACGCCTGGGACTTCAGGGCCTCATTGTCACCTTTGTGTGTCCACCCTAGTCAGCCCAGGGCTTTGAGTTTCCTTGCCTTCCTTGGCCTTAGGGTCCAGCTCCTGCTTGACACCTGGGGAGGCACTCGCTAACTTCACATTGATGAGGTGCCTGGAGGGGGCCAATGGGATGTTGGATTGGAGTGTAGTGATCAGAGCAGGCAGCAGGCCGGCTCCAAGCACTGAGGGTTCTTGGCAGGAAGCTGAGTGAAGCCTGGGCTCATATGAATATTCATCACCTGGTGAGAAGGGCACAGTGTCCCCTCGGCCTCTAGTGGATGACACCCACTCTGGCCAGGGAGGAAGAGAGCTTAGGAGTGACTTCAGAGTGGACATGGAGGCGAGCCCAGAGAAATAGGGCAACAGGCTGGAGAAATTGGGAGGGCAGGCTTAGCCTTGGGGTCAGAGGATAGGGAAGGTGGGAGGCTGGAGGCAGACCTGGGGTCACCCAGGCTGGGGTGCTTTCCAGGGGTGGAGCAATGGTTAAAACCCTTGGATGCTAACAAAAAGGTTGGCAGTTGAATCCAGCAGCAGCCCAGCAGGAGAAAGTAGACAGTCTGCTTCGGTGATAATTAGCCTTGGAAACCCTGAGAGGCAGTCTCTATGGAGTCTCCTAGTTCTACGGGGTTGCTGTGAGTGGGAATCAACTTGATGGCGGTGTGGTTTGGTTTGGTTTGGTTAGGAGACATCCAGGCTGCCTACCTGGAAGGGGTTGGGTTGGGGGAGCACATGCAGAGGCCGAGGAATGGGACGGAAGTCTCCACACTTCCGTGAGTAAGTGAGCAGATTGTAGCTAGCAGAGGCACAGCCACATACAAGGACCAGCTCTGAACAGACCTTGGGGCTGGGGACTCAGTCCTAGGCACCAAACTGCAGTAGTCCCCTCTCTCGCAGGCCTGACCATAGGGACTGGTCACCATCCCTTCTTGAAGGTCAAGGGCTATCCGCACAGGCTGTGTGCTGCTTTGGTACAGCACTGTCAAATCAAGAAAAACACACACACACCACCCCCTGGGAAATTACAGCCCTAGAGACAGCCTGCTCCCTCAAAGGTGCTGCTGTGCAATTAAGGGACAAAGGCCCCCCTTGGGGAGGACAAGCTCTTGGGGTAGGAGCCAGGGAGTGTCAGGATGGCGGAGAGGCACAGGTGCAGAGGGTACAGGAAAGGCCGAGCACAGTTGCTAGGGGGAGTGTGGGGTGCAGGAATGCTAAGTATGGGGTACAGGTGTGCAGAGTGTGGGGTGCAGGAGTACAGGGAGCATCAGGAGGCAACAGAGGCTGGAGTCCAGGGTTGTGAAGTGCAAGAGTATCATAGTATAGGGGTGTGGGTGTAGAGTACAGAAGTTCTGGGGTACAGAAGCATGAGATATGGGGCTGAAGGGGTTAGCTTCCAGCTCTCCTGGTGAGCACAGAGGGCAGGCTTGTTGCTTGATGCCGCCACCATTCTTAGCTTCCTCATTTGTCAAGTTGGATAGGAAAGGCCACTTGAGGTGCCTCAGAATGTGACATGTGGAACTAGGGTCATCTTGGGGGCTGCTCCTAGCCAGGGCATGTACATGTTCTTTCTGCATGACCCATCCACCAGGACAGACCTTGGCTGTCCTCATGACCCAGTGCTCTCAGGGGCATGTTCCCAGCATGGGCTCTTGTGACCCCCTGCCCTCAAGTACATGTGCCCAGCTTGGGCGCTGAAGACCCCAGCCCTCAGGCGAGTGTGCCCGGCCTGGGCTCTGTGGGCCCCAGCTGAGCTGTTTTTCCGCAGCCCAATTATGACAGAGGCACTTGTTACTGCTGAACCCATTAAGTGTAATTACCAAGCCCTCAGCGGGAACATGTAATTACTTGTGGTCGCGTGGCTGCCTGCGCTGGCAGAGCTGTGTTTCCTGGCCGTAGCGCGTGTCCTGCTAGTTGGTCCACCTTGCCTGCCTGTGTCTTGTGGGGCACCCTCAGGGAGCTGAGGGCTGTGCCATGGGAGACCTTCCCTTTCCTTTCAGCCAGGCCCAGGCCCACCTGCAAGACAGGAGCCAGAGAGCCCCCCATTGAGCCCACAAGCCCCTCCCAGCCCCCCCCCCCCATCTCTGGTTGTGGCCACCACAGAGGACTGGGCATAATCCTTTCTGAGAGTGAACTGAGATCCCCTTGCCAGACTCCCAGATGCTGGTGGTGTAGCAAGCTAGCTTCTGAGGGAGACTTCTGACCTTTTCCAGCCTTGGTGTTCCTGTCTGTAATAGGGGGCAAAGGCCTTGCCCCATGGGCCCACCGTAGGAGCTGTACTGCTGGACTTTGTGCCCTCTTTCCTTCTGGCCACTCTCCTGCCTCTCGTCTGAGACATGGGATACAAGGGGCCAGAACTGGGAGCTGGGCAGCAGTGAGGGAGCTTCTTCATCAGGAGGGTGCCCAGAAATTTACTCATGGCCCCTGCTACCTGCTCACCGCTGGGGGTTATGAACCGAGGCCCTGGCCACCCTGTAATTGTCAACAAGCATGTTGACCAGTAAAATGAGCAGTAAACCTCCTCTCCCTAGCCCAGCTTGCAGTGTCTTGACTTGGGCCAGGCCTTTATGGGAAACAGGGGCCTCAGAGAAATTAAAAAGCCTCCCATAGGTGCACTGGAACCACTGGAGTGGGATGTGCCCAGATCCCACCTAGGGGTATGTCAACCTCCAATCAGGGAGTATCATTCCCCCCAACTGTGTGTGGGTGGCTTGCACTCACACTGATTGATACTTGCACTCTTCTTATTAATGGGAACTTCCTCACAGCCTGTCCTCATCCAAGTGCCCTTCTGCTCTTCCTGCACCTCATTTTTCTGCGCTGGTGGCTCAGGTTGACTGTGGCTCTAGAATCCCATGTGTGGAGTCATAGCGCCACCTGATGGATGTTTATAGAATGGGCGGTGTTTTCATTCTGGGTGCTCAGAACACAGGTCCTGCTTTTTGGGCTTACTTTGAGGGGCGCACGCGTAGCACATTCAGATTACAAACTGGCTCACGCTTCTCACCAGATTCGGGGGTGAGAGGGTGAGGGGGCATGAAAAGATGAGGTGTAGTTAGAGGATGGAGTGCAGTAAAGGATGGGGGGCATGGGAGAGGATGGGGAAGCACTTAGAGGACAGAAGTGCGTGAGAGACGCAGCCTTGGGGAGGGAGGGGTAGCCTGTGAGGGCCGCAGTTGGCCTTGGCTCCCATGCAGGACTCTCTCTGTAAGCGTGCTTCGGTTAGCGGCGTAGGCCTCTTTCACCTGTGGGAGAGGTGTCCACCTGGTTGAGAGTTTGGGGAACTAGCCCGGCTTCTCATTGCGCTATGAGCTCAGGTGGCCCAGAAGAGGGTCGCTCCCTGGAGAGCTTCTGGGCCCTCTGGAGGTGGAGGGGTGCTGGGGGCAGGGCCTGGACCTCTCCTCTCTTCTCCCCACCCTTCCTTAACTTTCCCCGTCTGCACGTGGTTCGAGCATGTCAGCATGCTGGTCATCCTGCTCAACTGCGTGACCCTGGGTATGTTTCGGCCCTGTGAGGACGTCCAGTGCCACTCGGAGCGCTGCAACATTCTGGAGGTGGGGGCGGGACCTACACAGGGTGGGGGTAGGGGGTGGGCTACGGTGCAAAGGGGGTGAAGTAGGAGGGCCTGGAACGAGGAGAGGTTGGGGTGTGGAGATGGGCAAAGAAAGGGGAGGAGCCCGCGGTGGAAAGGTGAGGTCTGCTGGGGCTGCTCAGAGAGGTAGTTTCCCCTCCCCCCACCCCCAGCCAGGCCAGCGGGAGGCACAGCTCATGGCTCTGGGGCTCCCTCCACCTCCCGCTAGGCCTTCGACGACTTCATCTTCGCCTTCTTCGCCGTGGAGATGGTCATCAAGATGATTGCTCTGGGGCTGTTCGGGCAGAAGTGCTACCTGGGCGACACCTGGAATAGGCTGGACTTCTTCATCGTAATGGCGGGGTATGCCCTTGGGCGGGAGGGGGGCGTGCCCCTCGAGAAGTAAGGCGACATCTCCCTGCAAGTTCCTTGGAGGGACTGAGGGGGAGGTGCGCTCTGGTGGGATTCCTCTAGGGTGGAGAGGCCCATAGCAGCTGAGCAGATGCGGGGCAGCACGGTGCAAGTATGAGAACACCTCAGTGTCGCTCTGATATCCGCCTTCCTGCGGGTGTGGCCTCACGCAGACCCTGCCCTTAGCTGGCAGGGGGCCCGGAACCAAAGTGCATCCTGGGCTAGGGCAGGGTCAGAAGCTTCTCAGCTGCGGTAGAGAGAAGCTGAGGTTAGATGGGTCTTAGCGCCGCCTCTCCCCCGCTAAACCCTCCATCCTCACCCACCCCAGCATGATGGAGTATTCCCTGGATGGACACAATGTGAGCCTTTCAGCCATCAGAACCGTACGCGTGCTGCGGCCCCTACGCGCCATCAACCGAGTGCCCAGTAAATGACACTACCGCCCCCTTCTCCAGTTCTGGGGAGCCTGCTTGGGGTGGGAGTCTCTGGTTTGCACTAGGGTGCGGTGGGAGGCCCAGTGATCCTCTGACCCTGTACAGACATTTGTGACCCTCGTGTTAACTGAGTTGGGGCAGGGGCATCCCGGAGCGTAGGGAGGCTTAATGTCTTGACCCTTGTTCTCCACAGGCATGCGCATCCTGGTCACGCTGCTGCTGGACACGCTCCCCATGCTGGGAAACGTGCTCTTGCTCTGCTTCTTCGTCTTCTTCATCTTCGGCATCGTGGGGGTTCAGCTGTGGGCGGGCCTGCTGCGCAACCGCTGCTTCCTGGACAGCGCCTTTGCCAGGTGCGCAAGCCAGGCTCCACCCCCGCAGGCCTCGCCTCATGGGTGACCACACCCACCTCAGCACATTTGGCCAACCGGGCGGGCCACATGGAAAGGCCCCACCCACCGAATGGACACGCCCCTCCCTCAGTATTAATCACCTGTGTGGGGTGGCGGACAGCTCTGGTTTGTGGGTTCCTGTCTCATATCTGAAGGACCCTGATGGTGATATAGGCTAAGCATTGGATTGCTAACCAAGAAATTGGTGGTTTGAGTCCAACCACCATTCCTGATGGGTCAGTCTGTTTCTTTAAGATTAAACCCCATTGGTTGTACTCCATCCTACAGGTTCTCTGAATCAGAACTGTTATTATGTTGAGCTGTCTGCCTCTGTGACTCTTTTTCTCCTTTTCTCTCCCTTTTTTTGTCTTTAATATTTCTCTTTGTTTCTTGCTATCACTGTATGACTCTCTTTTCCTCTTTTTTCTTCCTTTCACTCTATTTTTCACTGTTTTCCTGTCTCTGTATCTTTGTCTCTCTCTCTATTCTCTTGTTCTTCTGTATCTATCTCTTTCTTCCTCTCTCGCCCTGTTCTTTTCATCTTTCCATATCTCTCTCTCCTTGTGTATATTTCTCTCTTGTCTTTGTCTGTCTCTGTCTCTTTCTTGACATCCAGAGTCTGGGGCTGACTCCAGCAGGACTCATCCTAAGGACTCATTCACACATCTGCTCAGAGTAGGTAGGAAATCCAGGACCATAAGGCCACAGAGCCTTGACTGCCCACTGCTATTTGGGTAGCCCCCTCTCTTGGGCCCCCAAGTGGGCAAAGTACCAACCACAGCAGGTAGGACATAGAGAGCCTATGAGAGAAGGGTGGGGCCCATGTAGAAGTAATGGAGCTGAAAAGGGGAGACTCAGTGGTCCAACTCTACAGAGAGGGTTAAGTCAGTGGGAGGGGAAAGCAGGATGCAGTATGGGGAAGTGTCGGGGTGGAAACACGGACTTCCTGGGCTGTTGGAGTCAGTTTTGCAAATTTTTTGGATGCTGTTGGGCATATCACCAAATATTCTTAATCATTTCACTGACCAGAGGTCAGTACCAAGGGAGGCCCATTCAGAGGTAAGGGAGTGAGATCTGCAGGTAAGATCACTACTGAGGACACACAAGTGGGCAAGTTCAGTCCAGAAAGATCACTCCCAGTGGACTCTGCCCCGCTTCCGTTTGGTAGATTGAATGGAGGTGGGAAGTCTGTGTGAGGTCTCTGTGGGAACGGGAACTCCCTGGCACAGGTACACTTGTATACCTGTGTACTTAAGTATTTGTGCACTTGTGTGCCTGCGTCTCTATGTCCTTGTCGATCTGAGCACCTGTGGCCATGTACACCTGGGTTTCTGGGCACTTGTGCCTGTGGGTCCTATGTGTACATGGACCCCTGTGCATCTGTACACCTGTGCCCATGTTCCTGCTCACCTGTGCACTCTGCTTGTGGCTGCCCACAGGAATGACAACCTGAGCTTCCTGCGCCCGTACTACCAGCCGGAGGAGGGTGAGGAGAACCCCTTCATCTGCTCCTCTCACCGGGACAACGGCATGCAGAAGTGCTCACACATCCCCAGCCGCCGTGAGCTGCGTCGCGAGTGCACGCTGGGCTGGGAGGCCTTTACACAGCCACCAGCTGAGGGGCCAGAAGGGGCCGCCAGCCGCAACGGCTGCATCAACTGGAACCAGTACTACAATGTGTGCCGCTCGGGGGGTGTCAACCCCCACAATGGTGCCATCAACTTTGACAACATTGGCTATGCCTGGATCGCCATCTTCCAGGTGGGCTGGCAGGAATTGAGAGAAAGGAGCGTACTGGAGGGTGGAATCCCCATGTACATGTGCTGGGGTGCCGGGTTGGACCACATGAGAGAAGATGGGGTCCCCAGGGCACTGGAGCCAGCCAGGAGGGCCACATGGGCTGGTGCTCAGGGCCCTGTCACCATCTCCCCTCCACAGGTGATCACGCTGGAGGGCTGGGTGGATATCATGTACTACGTCATGGATGCCCACTCGTTCTACAACTTCATCTACTTCATCCTCCTCATAATCGTGAGTGTGGGGACACCCCTTGGCATCAGCCCTTTTTGTTCCATGTTCTTAGCTTATCTGTCCCTCGGGGTCCTTCTCGTCTAGTTCCATTCTGTGTGGCGGTTCAGTGGCTGAAGTACTCATTTGCTAACCGAAAGGGCAGTAGTTTGAATCTCCCAGCTTCTTTTTGGGAGAAAGATCAGGCACTCTCCTCCCTTTAAGATGTATAGCTCTGGTTACACTGCAGGGCACTTCTCCTGTGTCTTATAAGGTGATTCTAATTTAGATTCCACGCGATGCCAGTGGGTGGGAGTTACAAGGTGGAGCCCTGGTTGTGCAGTAGTTAAAATGTCTGACTGCTCTTCAGAAGGTCACCAGTTTAAACCTACTAGTCACACCACAGGAAGAAATCAGGCCTTCTGCTTCCTTAAATTCACAGCCTTTAGGAACCTGGAGTAGTTCTGCTCTGTCCAACACTCTGAGTCAGAATCAATAGCAGTGAGTCTGGATTTTTCATTGCTTTGGGGTTCCTGATCTCCTTAGCCTTCTGACCTGTGCCTGGCCAGGCTATGTGGAAGGTACACAGGGGTGTCAGAGACCTGGGCCTGCCCTTGAGGTGCCCCAGCAGGCAGACAGGGGAATCCCAGGAATCACCCTCTGCAGTATCTGTGTCCCCTCACCCAAAGGCATTGAGCCAAACAGATAGGGTGGGAGCAGCAGACCTAGGACTTAGCTCTCTTGTCCGCTCACCTGCTGCAGGTGGGCTCCTTCTTCATGATCAACCTGTGCCTGGTGGTGATTGCCACCCAGTTCTCAGAGACTAAGCAACGGGAGAACCAGCTGATGCGTGAACAGCGGGCACGCTACCTGTCCAACGACAGCACGCTGGCCAGCTTCTCCGAGCCGGGCAGCTGCTACGAGGAGCTGCTCAAGTACGTGGGCCACGTGGTGAGGAAGGTCCGGCGACGTGGCCTGCGCATCTATGCCCGCTGGCAGAGCCGCTGGCGCAAGCAGGTGGACCCAGATGCTGCTCCGCCTGGTCAGGGCTCTGGGGGTCGGCGGCAGGGTCGGGCCAGCCGGCGCATGGCATCCATCCATCACCTTGTCTACCACCACCATCACCACCACCACCACCACTACCACTTCAGTCACAACAGCCCGCGCCGACCCACCGAGCCCGACTGTAGGCTGGTGCGTGCCAGCGCCAGTGCCCCGCAGCCCATGCCTGGCCCCGGGCCACAAGATGCCGTGCACAGCGTCTACCATGCCGACTGTCACGTGGAGGGACCGCAAGAGCGCTCCCGGGCAGCCCATGCTGTGGCCACTGCTGCTGCTGGCCTCAAACTGGCCACCAGGCTGGGTGCCAGGAACTACCCCACGATCTTGCCCTCGGGGGCAGGCAGCAAGGGATGCACCAGCCCTGGGCCCAAGGGGGCACTGGGCAGTGGGGTGCACAGCCCCACGGGCCTGAGTGGCCCTGACCCTTATGAGAAGATCCAGCACTTGGTCGGGGAGCACGGTGAGGACCCCACCCTGCACACTGGGGAGTGGGGGGCCCTGGTGTCTACTTGGTCTTTGTTGCTGTGCCAACTGAGTGGGGGCATCCTTCTGAGCCTCAGGTTCTTCTGTAAAATGAATTAAATCACACCTCCTGGTACTGGAAGAAGGGGTTCGGGAAGGATAGGACAGAAGAGGAATGAGGAGGCCCCCTTCTCCTGCAGACCCCTCCTCATCTGTAGCCCAGCCCCAAGCCATTGGCTGCTCAGGAGCACAGAGCTTGCCTTGTAGTTATGAGGGTCCCAAATCTGGCCGTAAAAGCCCCCCAAACCTGCTAGCCTAAGGCCCCTCCCAACCCCCAGTTTCTTCTGATCTTAGGACAGACACCCCACCCTACACCATGATTGCATGTTACAACACTTGGTCTGTGACAGTGTGGGGCTTAAGGGGAGCAGGTACCCCACACAGGCAAATCGCCACATCTGACTCTTGCCACTCTGCTAAAAACATAGTTACTGACAGCTCACCCTTGACATGGAAGCCTCGCCAAGAAAACAGTGACCCTACAAAAACTGAAAACATTTTTGGCAAAAAGTGCCACTGGCCGAGCTGCCACTACAGCTTTATTCATTTTTTTTCCTTTGCCTTTCCACTCTCCCCCCCAATATGGTCCTTATGCTCATGAGCTCCAGTGACACAGCATGTTATGTGTTGTGCTGCTAACCAGAAAGTCAGTGGTTGGACTCCACCAGGCACTTTTTGGGGAGAAAGATGGTCATTCTTCCTGCTGTATATAGATCTACGGCCTCAGAACCCTGAGCAAGGGTTACTGGGAGTCGGAACTGACTTCGTTTTGGTTCGTCCTGGTGTTGTTATAAGCAGAGCCTCGGAGTTCACGCCAGTGCTGTTCAGGAGCGGGCTGTGATTGCATCTCCAAGGCCCTGTTTCTGAATGAGACAGCACCAGAGTTCCCGGGTGTCAGGATGTTGAAACGTTTCACTTGGAGATGTGGGTTCCCAGGCTGCTCAGGTCAGCACCTCCTAAGCGTGTCCCTCCTTGCAGGACTCGGCCGGACTCCCAGCCGCCTGTCGGGCCTGAGTGTACCCTGCCCTCTGCCCAGCCCCCAGGCGGGCACACTGACCTGTGAGCTCAAGAGCTGCCCCTACTGTGCCAGCGCCCTGAACGATCCCGACCTGGAGCTCAGTTGCTCTGAGAGTGGCGACTCCGACAGCAATGGAGTCTACGAGTTCACACAGGACGTGCGGCGAGGTGACCGCCGGGATCCTCTGCAGCCTCCTGCCCCTGAGACCCCCAGCTGGGGCAGTGGGCCGAGGAGGCGGGCACATGGGCAGGGGCCGGGTGAGCCCGGTGGGCTGGTCCGGCTCTGGGCTGCCTTCAGCGGCAAGCTGCGGCACATCGTGGACAGCAAGTACTTCAACCGTGGCATCATGGTGGCCATCCTGGTCAACACACTGAGCATGGGCGTTGAGTACCATGAGCAGGTGAGCAGTGTGGGTGACTGGGGGACAGCCTGAGGTCAGTGTGTGTGTGTGTGTGGGGGGGGTGTCCCTGGGGGCTGTACACACAGCTCTACAGGTGGTCCTGGAATGGGAAATCTTTGAGATAAGAAGCATCAGAAAGAGACCTCTAGGGGCGGGCTGTAGCAGCATGGTGTCAGATGTGGGATTTTTATTAGTCATTAAGCAAACACTTGTGTCTTCCTGGGCAAGAGCTGCCTCTGAGTGGTCACAAGGAGAGGCACAGACAAGCCTGCCTGTGAGGTCTCCCAGTTGGTGAGGGGACGCCAGACTCCAGGATGAAGGTTTACAGTGAGGGCTTTCAGCGGGCACCTCTTGGACATGGAGCTTTTTTGACCCAATTCCTGCAGAAAGAGACCCCTGAGTGGCATATGTCCCACCTAGGCAAGGGGAAGAATCCCCAAAGAAGGACTCAGAGGAGTGTTCAGCACCCCGAGTAAGGGAGGAAGTGATGATAGAATAGGGAAGTGAAGGGGAGACAAAATTAAATTTTTGTAATGTATATAAAGATAGATGATAAAGGTATACTCATATTTTAATTAACTTTTAGTTATTAATTATATAATATATAACTATATTATATCTGTAATGTATCTAGAGAGAGCTCTGGTGGCCTAGTGGCAAAAAACTGTGTTGCAATCCCAAAGGCACGCAGTTTGAGGCCACCAGCTGCTCCACGGGAGAAGGATGGGCATTCTCCCCTCCTGTGTGATTAACTGCCTCTGAAAACCTGTCAGTCAGCTGTGGGTTGGTTCCGACTCGATGTATACAACAAATTATATGCACATCTTGCTAGTATTTTCATTCCTCATTTAACTGTAAATTGAGAGGGTTAAGGAGTTAGGAGAAGAATATTAAGTTAAAGTTACTGCCAACAAAGAAAAGATGATAGAGAAAACTTTTTAAAGTGAATTTATTGCAGCCTCTTCCTACACTGTTTTTGCATCCATATTCACTTCCAGTTGCTACCTGTGTAAATGAATTCCGTTTTTTCATGCATACATTACATAATTGTTATGTGCTTCAAGTTGCTTGTGATTTATAGTGTGACCCTGTGTACAACAGCTCTGAACCCTGCACTATCTTGTGCTAACCTCACTGTCTTTGATAAACCTACCCCTATTACCCCAGTCACTGAATCAATCCATCTCATCCAGGATCTTCCTCTCTTGCACTGGCCCTTCATCCTTTCAAGCATGATGTCTCTCTCTAAGGAGTGGTCCCTCCTTGTAACATGCCCAAAGTATGTCAGATGTGAGTGTAGGAAACTTTTAAAAGAAAGAAGGGAGGAAGTGAGTGAGGCCACATACTATCTCATGGTCTCTTCCTCCTCTGGAGTGTGGGAGTGAGCCACGACGGGGCCCTGACAGTGCCCCCTGTCCATTGCAGCCCGACGAGCTGACCAGTGCCTTAGAGATCAGCAACGTGGTCTTCACAAGTCTCTTCGCCCTGGAGATGCTGCTGAAGCTCCTGGCCTGTGGACCACTGGGTTACATCCGCAACCCATACAACATCTTCGATAGTGTCATTGTGGTCATCAGGTCGGACAAGGCAGGGAAGGCACACTGGGCAACCTTCCCCCAGAGCATGTCCAGGGCAATGGAGGGGGTATTTCAGATGGGAACCGCCCGTGGGTACTGATGACCAATGCAGTCTGGGCCCCTAGCTCCTCCCTGCAGGGATCATAAGACATACACACAGATCAAGCTGCTGTCTCAGATGGAGCTTCTAGAATCTCAGTGGAGCTTTCCTCAACATTGGCAGACTGGCCATTTAAGGAGTCATCTGTGTCCCATTTGCTTTGAAGAGTTTGGACACCAAAGTCAATACAGAAAGGAACCAGAGAATTAGGGGAACCCCCTTAAGCTGTCCTTTGGAAAGAAGCAAATCCCAGGGGAGGCATGGGATTTCCTGCTCTAGTGAGAAGGGCCCTTGAGCAGGGACAGAAGAGGTTCAAGGTGGGGACCTGGTTAGGCTGCCTCTTGGCACCTTGATGCAACCAGACCTGCTCCCCAATTGTAGGACTGAGCAGAACAGCTCTCAGTTTCCCTGTTCCCAGGGTGAGGGTGGGCTGTGAGAACAGGCCCTGCTCCCTGACCGGTGTAGGGTGGTCTGTAAGAACGGGACCTTCCTGACTGCAGTGTCTGGGAGATCATCGGGCAGGCAGATGGCGGGCTGTCAGTGCTGCGGACCTTCCGGCTGCTGCGGGTGCTGAAGCTGGTCCGCTTCATGCCCGCGCTGCGGCGCCAGCTTGTGGTGCTCATGAAGACCATGGACAATGTGGCCACCTTCTGCATGCTGCTCATGCTCTTCATCTTCATCTTCAGGTGACCTGCCCAACTCCCCAGGTCCATACGTGGGGCACACCTGAGCAATGCCCTGGTTGGCGCCTAGCCCGCGGCCTTGCCCCTTCACCGCCCTCCCTCACGGACCCACCCCTCTCCCAACCCCGCCCTCCCCAGCATCCTGGGCATGCACCTCTTTGGCTGCAAGTTCAGCCTGAAGACGGACACAGGTGACACCGTCCCCGACCGGAAGAACTTCGACTCCTTGCTGTGGGCCATCGTCACCGTGTTCCAGGTGAGCGGGCCAAGCAGACAGTGGAGTGTGTTCGGGACCAGGGTCTCTGTGCGGACGTGGGGCGGGGAGCTTGGAGGCAGGTGAGGATGGCACGACAGTCTGTGGACCACTTCAGGCACTGTAGGCAGTGGTTCTCGCTCTGCTTATGTAGAGTGGGCACATGAAGAGGACGGGGCTGCCCATGGGTTGCTCTTCTGAGGGTGGGTCTCACTTCACGGATGTGGGGTGGCAGATGAAAGGCGGTCTGCGGCAGCCTCTGGCATAGACAGCAATGAGGGAGTCGGTCCTGCCACAGAGAAGGGAGCTGGGGCCTTGGCCCCCATGCTGAGGACTCCGTGTCCCCACCCCCCAGATCCTCACTCAGGAGGACTGGAACGTGGTTCTCTACAACGGCATGGCCTCGACCTCCTCCTGGGCCGCCCTCTACTTCGTGGCCCTGATGACCTTTGGCAACTACGTGCTCTTCAACCTACTAGTGGCCATCCTTGTGGAAGGCTTCCAGGCGGAGGTGAGGGGAGGAGGGAGGGCTTTCTAAGTGGAGATGGGAAAGTGAAGACTTTCAGGTGGAAATGAGGGCAGTTGGTCAGTGGAGGCTTACCAGACAGCTATCCACTCTGGGCCAGGGCGATGCCAACAGGTCTGACACAGATGAAGATAAGACGTCGGCACATTTAGAAGAGGACCTGGACAAGCTCAGGGACCTGCAGGCAGCTGGTATGAGTGTGTGTGGTGGGGACCCCTGAGTGAACACTGTGGAAAGTTTCCGGGCTCAATCAACTCCCTCTTCTTTTTCCCACCCAGAGATGAAGATGTATTCCCTGGTGATGACCCCCAATGGGCACCTGGAGGCCCAGAGCAGCCTGCCCCCTCCCCTCATCATGCACACAGCAGCCACACCCATTCCAACTCCTAAGGGGTCCCCTCACCTGGACTCAGCCCCTGGGCTGCTGGAATCTCGACGTAGCAGCAGTGGTTCCGTGGACCCCCAGCTGGGAGACCAGAAGTCTCAGGTAGTGAGCCCCCTAGGTCCCTGCTCTACCAGTCGGCTCCTTCTAGGCCCCTCAAAATGAGCCAGACCCTGACACCTCCTCATGCCCTGGGGAGCACTATCCCGGAAGAGAGAGCCTATGCCGGAAGCCACAGCCCGGCCCAGAGGTGGCCCAGAGTGGCCGCCTCAGCCTCTGATAGGAAATCACCCAGGAAGTTTGTCTTCGAATCACAGTAGGAGATAAGAGCGAGCAGTGAGCAGCTTGTTTCTGAGGGAAATGCAGAACAGAGACCTTGACTCAAGCTACAAATTGGTCAGGTGGGGGCCCCATGAGCCACCAGGAACAAAACCGCCCATTCCTTCTCCCAGATTGCCTCATGTGGGTTTTCAAAGCAAATTCTCTTAAAAATATGAAACAGAACTTAAGATAAGAATAATATAATCCCACATAAAACAGTCCAGGCTTACTGGTTAGATAGAGACTGATGGAATTCTCAAGACTTATCTTTCGGACCTAGAACCAAAGCCACTCATCAGCTAAACAGTAGATAGTCCAATATAAGGTGACCTGTGACGACAAGGAGGGGCTCACTCCTTAGGAAAATCTGCAGTAGAGTTTGCCCAAGGAAAAAGCCCTGAAGGCAGGAAGTAGGATAGAATGATTAATAAAAATGAGAATCACAAGGAGGAAGTGGGAAGAGTGCTGTTTGTTACCTTATGGGTATTGTAATTAATAATACAAAGTATATGTGAATGGACTAATTTGCTTTAGTAACGTTGTTGTTGTTGTTATGTGCCGTCGAGTCGTTTGCGACTCATAGCGACCCTATGTACAATAGCCCTAAACCATGCTCTGTCCTGTGCCAATCTCATTGCCTCTGACACACCCATCCCGATTACCCCAGTCACCGAATCAATCCATCTCATAGAGGGTCTTTCCCTCCTGCGCTGTCCCTCTACTCTACCCAGCATGATGTCCCTCTCTAAAGACCTGTCTCTCCTTAC